AGCAGCAGCATGACGTTGTGACAACAGGCCATGTCCGCCGCCGCCGGGGGGCTCGGGCTCCCCCAGACCCCGCTTCAGGGAACCAGCGCCATTCACGCTCCCGGGGACCCTGCTCAAAAGGCTCCCGCGCTCTCCAGGAAACACCACTATTGGCGGAGTCAGCTCCCAATCACAGCTCTTATTGGTCCCTGGCCTTACGTAATTCACGTGAGCGCCCGCCCTCCTCGGCGCTGATTGGAAGGGGGTTGGGGAAAATCCTCTGCTCGGTTGGTGGAGGGCGTGCCTGTGGGCGGGCCCTGTGGTCCGGGGAAGAACTTAACGCTGATTGGCCAGGGGCTTCGTTTTAAAATTTAAAGAGGTGGTGCTAGGATGGCGTCTTGTAAAGTTCCCTCCTGGGAAGGAGGTGTGCGTTTGGGCGATTGTGCGCAGGTGCGCGGCGGCCGGCCCGCCGGGAATCCGACTGGGTTGAAGCCACCCTGGGCTTTCGATGGGGTAGAATCAAATGCGAGGACTTTAATTTTCTGTATTTTAAGTAAAGTTATGAAAATAGAAAAGTTCACTCCCTTTGGCCAAGTTAACTTAGAGCTGAGTTTCTTTGAAGGAGGCAATCAGATCCATAGAGTGGCTTTAACTTGAGAAAAATTGGAAACAACTCGAATGGGAATGGCACCCCTAGGAGAAAGAACGTCGGGTGTAGCTTTTTAATGTTTTTTATAATGTTACATTAAAAAAAAAAGACTATGTAACAGCACATGCAGTGAGATCTCCGATTTTCTATCCATTTGTATATTTCTAAACTGCTACGTTAATCTGTACACGAAACTTGTCTGCTATTGTCTCTGGGTGATAAGATGATGATGATTTCTTAAAAATTTTGATTTTACACTTTCTGAATTTCCTAAGTTTTCTACAATTCTGTATTTCTATATTACATTTACAGTGGGGGAATATCCTTAATGAATAAAAAGAATCATCTTGCTGCAAAGTGAAGACTCCTCAACCTCCCAGTCTCCTTACAGACTTGTGGGGGGTTCGTCGCTTTCCTTAGAGGGGAGAGCAGGCATAAGTGCATCCATTCCATTCTGTTTGCATTGTTTGTATGGTAACTTAGCACGTTGTGCGGGACTCAAGCCACCTCTTTAAGACTTTTGCTTTATTTTCTAAACCGTGAGTTCCGAGAGGGCAAGAGCGGTGTTTTATCTGTCTCTGTATCCTTCCTGCCTAGCAGCGTAGCCATAAATTATTTTTTAAAATCGAATTGTCTTATGTTATCCAGCATCTCTCCCCCGGAAGGATTTCAGGACATGGTGCAGGTACAGGTGAATCACCACCAGAGGGCAGTAGCTCACCTGCACTGAAGGGCTCCGATGCCTATACGTCCCACTCACAATGAAACCTTCCCCCCCATTGCTTGTCCTTAGTTTGCGTGAGAAAAGCAGACGTCTGGGAACTTATTATAGTTGGGCCTCCCATGGAGACCAAAGTCCTTGGGGTGGCTGACAAGGCTGCACCCTGGAGCAAAGGGTCCCATTCTTTTTTTAAATATATTTTTTATTGATTTCAGAGAGGAAGGGAGAGGGAGAGAGAGATAGCGACATCAATGATGAGAGAGAATCACTGATTGGCTGCCTCCTGCAGGCCCCCTGCTGGGGACTAAGCCCAAAACCCCAGCATGTGCCCTAATGGGGAATCAAACACCGGACGCTTCAGACCACAGGCCAACGCTCTATCCACTGAGCCAAACTGGCTAGGGCCATTCTTTTGGGGAAGGATGCTTCCCTCTCTCCCCCCCTCAACCCCGAAAAAAAGGAAGATACATATTTCCAGCACCTAGTGGGACAGGCATGATTCCAGGCACGTCTCACAGCAATTCTGCAGGGCAGGCATTATATCCTCCCCTTTACAGATGAGGAAAGTGAGGCTCAGAGGGCCCCTCACAGCTAGGAAGAGGGAGCCCTAAGCTCTGCACTGCTTCTCGAAAGAGATGTAAGGACAGCCCCCTCCCCGGGATGGAGCAGACAACCTCCTTGGAGAATGGAGGGCCAGGCCAGGCCAGCCCACATCCAGCAAGCCTCCGAGCCCTGAGTATGTCCCTCATCTTTCTTTTCATTTTTAAAATATATTTTTATTGATTTCAGAGAGAAAGGAAGAGGGAAAGAGAGAT